GATGGTTTGCCATGTAGTCATCTTATTACCACTTTCAAGTACTTGCATCTTCGTAAAGTGCCAACGCAATGTATACGCAACAGGTGGACAACAATTGCTGGAAAAGAGCTTAGAGAAAAATTTCACTACTTACCTGCAACTAGTGATCCCCAACAGAAAAGGTATTTTGAACTGTATAAAGAATAAGTTGATATGTGTATGAAGGCGTCACAGAGTGAATCAGATACTTCAAGATGTTTGAAGAAGGTTCGACGTGCAACGGATAACATACACAATAAAGAAGAAAAAGATACCAGAAAATCAACTGATGATATGGATAAAGAATCACAACTCCTTAAGGATCCGGCTAGAGGGTGTAAACATAAAGAAATTTTGGGAGATCCACGTAGGGTTAGGTCTAGAGGGGCACCTATAGCAAAAAAGCAAAGATGCAAATCATGCGGGTACATCCTTTATATATTTATACCTTACAATACAAATCATTTTTTCAAAGAAACAAGGATGTACTTTATTTATTACTTACGATATTACACACAAATTTTATTTTGCAGTGAGCTCGGGCATAAAACGACTACATGTAATTCGAAGATATCGAGTAGTCAACTATCACAGTCTGAATTTGGAAATGAGGATGACTTTTTGACTCCAAAGGGAAATATGAACTGAGTAGAGTGAGACACGCTTTAATATTTATGTATGTTTAAATGGAATCACACATATGTTACTGCTTTCAATTTCACATTTCAATTGGTGTACTTGCACATGATGTATGAGCATGTTCCGTTGTATATGTATGTCATGGAATAGTCCTCAAATTAATTCAACATGGTGTATTAAGCATTAATCTATTATCAAATTGGCTACAGTTGGTAAGTTGGTAACTTACTGTGAGTGATATGGGGAAAGGGGTTAAGTTAAAGGTGGGATGTTCAGTTATTTAAGCAGTCATTTATCCCTTTTATTGCAGGTCAAATCCTTTATATAGCTTTGGACTGTGGGGCTCATGTGGACATGATGGTGTGGCATGGGCATAGATCTGCAAGGTTCACATTGAAATATCCTTGTTACATAAACCATCTCTTGTGTGGATTAGTGTTGGGAATACATTGTGTACTGATTTAGAATCCACCAAATTGAACTCATTGATGCCATTCATGTGTAATATTCTATATTTGAACTCAAGTGTGTAATATGAACGTAATTTTTTTTGTGTTTTGTGTAGTTAAAGTGAAATGTGTTATTTCCATGGTTGTGAACTTGGCTATGCCTTCTTCGCAATTGCTTATTTTAGTTTAATTCAGGTTTGCCTTTGGAAAAAAAAATTTAAAAAAAAATATCCATAATATTAAACAATATAAATAGATAAAACATAATTGCCAACTAGTCAAGATAGGTAGATTTAAAAGCTTCATTTAACAAAATCCAACACATTTCATGAATAATAACGTGAACTTACAAAAGGGCAAGTCTGTCTAATGACGACGAAGGTAATCCTGAAACCCGTCGACGTCGCTTACTTGAGAGCTAGCGTCGGTTATGCTCTCGGCAGAAATATTATCATTCGACGGTTGATCATTTGTAGCTGGGAAATTGTTGTATGTCGATTCGACTACCTCTCTCGAGATTCTCTTAGGATCCACTTCATTTGGATATTCGAACAAGCACCCTAACGGTCGGAAGATTGCCGCTAGTGAGTCCCACTTCGGATCCGGTTTATCAAACAAGTAGAATGAAATTGCCTAATGCTTGATTACATGAAAAAAGATACAATGTTATATAGCATGACAAATATGTGTACGACAACCAGAAGTTCACAACCAGATAATTGATATTTACCTCAATGGCAACGTCTTCAACTACAAGGGGTACATGCATGGTATAATTGTAGGGGTCGTGAACCACATCCTTCTGCTCCAACAGCCAATTCATTGTCTGATACCTTTCTTTGAGTACATGGTACATCTGCCAAGTTTCATTCAAAGAGAAACAAATATTTATCTCTTCGACAAATGTTGCATGGATCTGCCTAAATTCACGCCAAATTTCTGACTCATGGTTCATGCGCTCCATTACGACAAAGCGCCACAATATCACACAAAATTTGTCTCCATTGCTCCCACCGTTTTAGCATTCCATCTCTAATGTACTTAAAGTGACCCCGTTTCGTCTTGGGCAAAGTAGAATCATCCATTTTTGCTTTGTTTTTGTTGTTTTTGCAGTACGGTGGTGGTTTTGGTATTACGAGAGATGAAAGGTTACTGGTTGGTTGGGTATGAATGTAGACGAAAGGTAACTTGTGGTTTTATATTATGTTAATTGTGCTTTTTGGAATATGATTGGTTGGGGTGACCTGTGTCTTATCAAATTCTTTCAACAAGCATTAACACTTTTCTGTTTTGTTCAAGTAGTGATGATATCCTTGGTATACGTCATCATCACGTGGCTTGGCCACTCAAATCTGTTGTGTGTTGACTTTCAAAATTCCGATATTGTTGTGAGTTCATTTTCAATTTAATGCGGATGTCAACGATCAAATATTTTGAAACAGTTATGAACAATACAACTTCTGCATCTTGGCGGTAGACCGGAAAAAAAACCTACGTTCGCGTACAAAAGCTCATTCGAGCTCGTTCATGTTCGACAAAAGCTCGTTCGTTTGTTAATAGAGCCGAATTCAAACAGAAAATTAGGCTCGTTTAATAATAGAACAAGCACAAGCTCGTTTAATAATTGTTTTGATTTATTTTTATAACAACTCAGCAAGTTTACAATCGAGAGACTTTCCTAGTTAGTCCCATGAAAATCTAGAAAAAAAAATACAAGGTAAACTCTTCCCTAATCACCTAAAAGAAGCACAAACCAAGCACTACACCTACATCAACATAAAGCAGAAAAACATGATGGAACTTCCAGCTGCAGACTGAACCCCCACAAACATCAGATAAAACTAGCAAAACACAAATCAATGTATAGTACAAGCCACCTGCACCACTGAACCATAAGACCTAGAACAAGTTGATTGTACTATTTGTTAGGACCTTCTAGCATCTGTGAACTCACTCCATTCTATCCAACCAGAGTTAACTGTCACCATATTTGCCATTTTAATGTTATGGAACTTCCATAGATTGTGAGTCTTTCTCAACCACTATATCTCTCGATAGATTGGTCATTGAATTGCACTTTCACTTATCTTGTGTATTCCAATTTCTGTAAAGATTAACCAGTTGGCAATAAACAGCCTACATCAATTAATAGACAGACATATATAAATACTTTGTTATATATTGCCTACATCATGAACCACAACTCATTTGTCAATTACTTGCCTACATCAGAACAACATGAAGAGCAAGATATTCGAATTGTATAAAAATGTGATACTAATATTTTTATGGGATTGTATCATGATGCATCAAGTAACAATTCAAAGAGCAAACATCTCAGGGATTAATCTAATGGACATTAAAAACATATATGACATATCACACATTCATCGTCCATATTCAGGCATTTCATCAAACATGTAATGTGCTTGATAAGGACAACGAAAATATAAAAGGAACCTCATTCAACAAATTCACCTCCTCAAATCAAAACAAATATTTTATCAAAACAATGAATACGAGGGTGAACATCATATGCAATGGAATGGTATAACAAAATCTCCAAAAAATTTTCGAAATCATGACGGGAATTTACAATCATACTTCAAACAACGTTGTCTGTCTTTACAATTTGGAGTACAAATTCACTATAACACAAACACATTTCAAAATTACCTACACGAATCTGTATCCATTTTCAACGTATGGTTCGTGAATCGTTCGAACATTTGTATGGATAATTATATAGTTCGTGGATTTTGATGGAGACCAAGAATAATTTGAAGAACAATAAGAACAAACATCCAGTCGAAGTGAGAGATTGATTTTTTAAAAAACAAAAAAACCGTATGATGGATGATACGAAATAATACTGATCTTCGAGGGTATCATCATATCAAAAATTCTATGGAGCCATCGGATGGTTTTCTTATGGAGCCATCCATGACTTAGTGTATTGACACTTGTCCAAAGTGCATTTATTGTAGGACACGTGTCAATACACTATTTGTGAATAACTGTGGATGGCTCCATAAGCCGAGTCATCCGATGGCTCCATAGCAAAACTGATCATCATATATTTTTGTATCTGTAGGATTGTTAGACAAATAAGATAAATAAATGTCCTTGAACATAAAGATAATTTACATTTTATAATCAATTACATTAAATTTAAGTTTAAAATTAAAGTAAAGGTATATTAGGTTTTTTAAACATGTACGAGGTGTACGAGGCATGTACGAGGGAATACATGTACGAGGCAATTCTTTTTTGCCTCGTACATTGAATGTGGTTGATATTCAATTTTAAATCAATCTAATGATCAATAAGGGGGTACCTGTTGTTATGCATGTACGAGGGGTACCTGACCATAGAAGATCCCTAGTCACTATGTGTCTCACTATGTAAAATTACAAATAATTAAAGGATTATATTAGTACAAGTAATATTAAAATACCTAAATTAGATAAATAATATTTATGGAATGTCCGAACCTAGATTGTTAATTTATTAATATACAATATTATTTGTCCAAACCTAATTACGAAGCATGATTCTTTGCCAAATAGAATTCCGAAACACAAGAAACAGCCACGTAGGCTCAGCGCATTCTGCACAAATATATATAGTGAGGATAATAGAAAAGTGAAACTACAGCATAATGTTATCAT